TTGCATGCAGCACTCCCATGGCGTTTTTTGCAGCCTTGTGGCACTGCAGTCTTGGTTTCATGTTGTTCTGTATCCAAACCCCGAGATCCTTCTGTGAAGATTCTGCGGGGAGCCTTATATATTTCGGGTGATTAGTCCTCAGACTCTCATTTGAATGAGAGTTTGTTGGACGCAGATGAAGGACGGCACACTTCTCCACATTGAAATCTAAAAGCCATTTCTTCGACCACGCTTGCAGTCGGTGCAGATTATTTTGAAGGGATCTCTAATCATTCGGACCCTTAATGACTTGCTTGAGCCTAACGTCGTCTGCAAACATTATTTTGCCGCAGTGGAATTCCTGAAGGCTGTCGTTAACGTAAAGGATGAACAGCAATGGTCCCAGAACTAACCCCTTGCGGCACGACAGTTCGACCGTCGATTTCGACGATGTCCACCGTGTGCCCCACAGACTGCGTTGTGGGAGCAGGGACGGTGACTTACGCAGAGGTTTATAGTGCCGGTAGACTTGCGCTGCATCTACCTACACTCTCTCCTCCTCCCCCACCTGGGCCCGATGTCAAGACAGATTCAAGAAGGCCGGAGACGAGGGAGGCCGAAGGAGGATGGCTCGGACGGATCCTCACCTTGGCGTTCCACGACACCCCCTGGTCCACACAACAATAACCAGGATTTCAACCAACACAACAGAGATTTGGAGGCTGGCACGGCCGAAGCCGCACCTGGGCGTGCCGCCAACGCCTGGCTCGGATCCCATACTGTGGTGAGAGTGCCATAAAGGCCACATTAAAAAGGAGCCATTGCAGCCTGACTCTCAGACCGCCTCCCGTTAGGGAGGAGGTCCAAGGCACTCCGTCAGTTGGCAACCTTCCAAGCCACGGCTTTTAGCGCACCGTGATAGCTTCAAGCGCGTCAGATTGTTTATAGTGAGGAGAAAGTGCGCTGAGTCGTCCACCTCACTCTCCCTTCCCACTCCCACACCCCAGCCGCTGTCCGAGCCGGTCAACAGACTGGAGTGGGGAGTGGGCGCGGTGGCTGTCATGGTCGACGGACCATGACTGCGCGCGCCACAGCACGACCTGGCCCCCCATACACACAAACACCAGGATTTCACACAACGGGGGTTGAACGGCGTGTCTCTCACTTGCGTGAGAGTGCCGTGGAAGGTGCTGTTTTAGCCCGTCCCCAGCCCACCAGTCCGCCACTACACACAGCACACACACAACGTGACGAACTGCGTGAACCGAGAGCGGGCCTCAATCAGCAACCTTCCTATCCACGACGCTTGACGTGTCGGGATAGTCTCGGACACAAGTCGCCCGTGCAGCCGAAGCCGCATGGGGACCGAGTCGAGATGCACACTTCCCACTTGCGTGGGAGGCGGCAGTTGAGTGCATGAGGTGTGTGAGGGTTGATGTCTGGTGGGGTGATGGTGTTAGGAGGTAGGGAGTGAGGGAATGTGTGGTGTGACCGGCGGTTGTCTACCGCAGGACGTCGTGGATGCGCATGTGGCCGAATAGACCCATGCGATGCGTGAAGGTGCGAGGGCAGTGTGGGCAGTGAAGGCGAGTGCGGTGAGCGTAGGTTGGTGCTCCAGGCACTGGTTCGCCAGTCTCTGTGCGATGGATTCGCAAGTGACCGACCAGGCCGATGCGTGAGGTGAAGGTGCGTGGACAATGTGGGCATGAGAGGTCGGCGGTGTCGGCGTCAGCTGTAGAGGAAGCAGTGGTGTTGGTGGTGGTGATGGTGGCGGTGGTGGTGGTCGGCGCGTGTGACGGTGGAGCGAGGATGGGTCTGGGCGTGGTGGATGTGTTGGATGTCGTGCCTGTATCGGAATTGTGGTAAATTCCGCTCTCGTGGATGCGTATGTGGCCGAATAGACCCATGCGATGCGCGAAGGTGCGAGGGCAGTGGAGGCGAGTGCGCTGGGTGTAGGTTGGTGCTCCAGGCACTGGTTCGCCGGTCTCTGTGTGATGGATTCGCAAGTGACCGACCAGGCCGATGCGTGAAGTGAAGGTGCGATCGCAGTGAGGGCAGATGTAGTCCTGGCCCTCACGTCTGATGATGGAGGTTGCAGGGGTTGTGCCTGTTGTTGTGTCAGGTTCGGCTGTGGTGATGTCGTGGGCGACAGACGCCGAAGCGGCCGTCGTTTTGGCAGTGAAGGAGGAAGAGGAGGAGAAAGGGGAGGAGTGAGGGGTGGTAAGGTCGGTGGCGTCGATGTCGGCTGGGGAGTGGTAAGTGGGTGCACAGGGTGATGGATTGGGAGTGAGGCTCGGCGGGGTGGGTGAGTCAAGGCTGCGGTCAATTCCGCTCTCGTGGATGCGCATATGGCCGAACAGGCCCATGCGATGCCGGAAGGTGCGAGGGCATTGTGGGCAGTGGAGGCGAGTGCGGTGGGTGTAGATTGGTGCTCCAGGCACTGGTTCACCAGTCTCTGTGCGATGGATTCGCAAGTGACCGACCAGGCCGATGCGAGAGGTGAAGGTGCGGTCGCAGTGAGAGCAGGTGTAGTCCTGATCCTCATCACAAGGATCGGGAGAGGTGGGGGTGGTGGCGGTTGTTGTGTCGGGGTTGGTGATGAGTGAGACGGCAGTCTGAACGGCCGCCGCTGCGGCAGTGGAGGATAAGGAGGAGGATGGAAGTGGTGGTGCAGAAGGAAGGTCAGAGTTAGTTGGCGGAAGAGATGACGAGGAAGAGGCGGGCGGGGGGACGATGGCTGGAGCAGTTCGAGAGGAGCAGTTGATCCGAAGATGTCCAACAAGTCAGATTCGTGCCCGGAATCTCCGTTGACACCGAGGACACGTAGGAAGCGGTTGTGCGGCGGCGTTGCGTATTGGGCGAAGTTGTGATTTGCGGGCTTCGCGTTTCACTTTGGCTGCGGCGATGCGGTTGGTTTCGTAGATAGCAGCGCCCGTCTTCACTGTCCTTCTCCATGTCGGACGATCGCGGGCGAGCTCTTCCCAGTTGGTCGGGTTGATTTGCAGGCGCTTCAGGGAGGACTTCAGAGTATCCTTGTAACGGCGAATTTGGCCTCCTTGACGACGAGAACCCGTCGCGACGTCTCCGTAGAAGAGTCGTTTGGGTAGTCGCTCGTCGTCCATGCGCACCAGGTGGCTGCTCCAGCGCAGCTGCATTTGTCTCAGTATGGCGTAGATGCTGAGGATTCCCGTTCGTTCCAGTACTTCCGTGTCGGGTATTCGATCCTGCCAGTTCAGCCTCAGAATGCGACGGAGACAACTGAGGTGGAAGTGATTCAGTCGGCGTGCCTGCCTCGTGTACACCATCCATGTCTCTGCTCCGTACAGTAACGTCGGCAAGATGACGGCCTTGTACATCTTCAGCTTTGTGCTCAGTTGGAGACCGTGGCGATTCCAGACTGTGCTTCGGAGGCGTCCGAAGGCTTGACTGGCTTTCGAGATTCTGTTGGCGACTTCGTCATTAATCTTGATGTTGCGAGATAGGGTACTTCCCAGGTACGGGCAGTTCTCTACCACTTGCCGTTGGGTCCCACTCACGCTGACTTGCGGCGCGTTGGGGGCTGTGGCTGAGTTGGGCGGAGGTTGGTGCATCACCCCCGTCTTCTGCGTGTTAATGATCAGACCGAAGTTCTCGCAGGCGGCGGAGAACAGGTCCATGCTGCGTTGCATCTCCGCTTCGGAGGTGGTGTTCAGGGCGCAGTCGTCGGCGAAGAGAAGTTCGTGCACGGTGGCTGTGGATACACGCGATTGGAAGTTCATGCGCCGGTGATACAGAAGATGATCGTCCGTTCTGTAGGCGATGCGGATTCCAGGGCATTCGGCGCGGTAGGCGTCCATCAGCATGGCAGAGAACATAAGCCTGATGAGGGTTGGCGCCAGCACACAGCCCTGCTTCACTCCGTTGGTCACTGCGAATGCCTCTGAGACAGCTCCGTTGTCCGTGACTCGCGCCAGCATACCGTCGTGCAGCTGACGCACCATCTGAGTGAATCGCTCCGGACAGCCGAATTTCTGCATGATCTTCCACAGTCCTTCACGATTCACCGTGTCGAAGGCCTTCGTCAGGTCCACAAAGGTAGAGTATAAGTGGGTCCGCATCTCCTGGCACTTCTCCTGAAGTTGGCGGGCTGCGAAGATCATATCCGTGGTCCCACGATGACGACGGAAGCCGCATTGGCTTTCCGGCAGAAGGCCCTGTTCCAGATGGTTGTTGAGGCGGTTGAGCAGGAAGCGAGCGAAGATCTTCCTGGCGATGTTCAGTAGGGAGATGCCGCGGTGGTTGTCGCAGACTTGACGATTCCCTTTTCGCTTGTATAGGTGCACGATTGTTGCGACGCGAAGATCCATCCGGCCAGCGCAGACCACAGTACCGCGTGTGCAGGTGCACGCACGGATGCCCTCACCTGGTTTAGCCCGCCGGTCGAGACGGTTGCCCGGGGTGTGGCCGCTGAGCAGAGCTCAGCTACGTGGAGCCACAGGTGAGAGTTAGGTGCCAGCAAATGGACGCTAGGCGTAGTCTCACCTGCGAGCAAGTGAGCGACCACTACGACCATCACGTTAACCCACCGCTGGACACCCCTACACCCCGCATTGCGGCACACCACTGGTCACATTCACCCATTCTGACATATCATCCCCGATACAGACACGTTGTTTCCGACCAACCAGAAACGCCCTAATCCAGTTCAGAAGATCTCCCCGGACGCCGATGTCGCTCAATTTGTGAAGAAGACGTTGGTGTTGGACAGTGTCAAAAGCTTTGCGAAAATCGATGTACACGACATCGACCTCAAAACCCTCTTCTAGAGCCCTGGTCCAGATTTCCAGGCAAGCTAGCAGATTTGAGAGGGAGGAACGTCCTCTCCTGAAGCCATGTTGAAAATCCTGCAAGATGTTATTTTCTTCACAAAATTGCTGCATAGCGTTCTTTACTATAGCTTCCATCGTTTTGCAAGGGAGGCAAGTTAAGCTAATAGGTCGAAAGCTGCTTGCTGTCATCCTGCTACCTCCCTTATGCAATGGAACGAGGTTAGCTGTCTTCCATTGTGAGGGCAGCCTTCCTGTTCTCATTGACAGCTCAAAGAGAGTCGAAAGAGGCGGCTTTGACAGCTCCCTTGATAGCTCCTTAAGTATCAGCCCGGGAATTCCGTCGGGTCCAGGAGACTTATCAGGTTTTATTTGACTGAGGACTCGTCTGACTTCTTACACGGAAAAGGCTACGGTTTTAATGACGGCAATATCTTGGCGCATTTGAAGCTCCCGGCTGTCTCGGTCCATTTCAAACTCCTGATTGTCTTCTAGGGACTCTTCCGTAAAAACCGATTGAAAAAACTGAGACAGTAATCGCACTTTCTGTAACCCTTCAACTAATAAGTTTCCGAGGCTATCCTTTAGACACGCAATTTCGTCCCTATGTTTCCTCCTACTGCGGATGTACCCGTAAAAATTATTGGGAACCTAAAACTTTTTGGGACTTTGCTTCGACAAATTTCTTTTATCTCGGTGATAAGTGCATCGTCCGCATCCGTCGCTGGCTTGGCGGTCTGTAAACCAGTGCCTTATGGAGGCTTGGATGGTTGGGCACCTTCAAGTAACACCTGAATATTTCACATCCAATGTGCCCAAATGGGGAAGACTCAACCCAGACGTATTCGATGCCATCTCGTATAAATATCGCAATCCCCCCATCCCTTCGTTCGTTTCTGTCCATTCGGAGAATCTGGAAACCATCTAGCATACCTTCCGCATCTTCTATCTGCGCATTTAACCATGTTTGTGTTAAAGCTATCAAGTCGGGTTGGAAATGGGCCAAAGTGAGTTTTATTTCATCCAATTTGTTGAAAAAACTCTGCACATTTGTGTACATCATTTTTATGTTATTCGGCTGTTTCGATCTCTGGAGATTGTTTGCTGGTGCTTTTGACTGATAGTTATTACTGCTTACTGATCTGTCGGAAAAAAACTGGTGGTTATATTCTGCCCTCTTTTGCTGGCGGTAGATTGAGTCTCAGACTCTGGAACTGCCTTGGTGGCTGTATCCAGATCAGTTGCTAAGTTGCTCGCGACCGTGATATATGCTGTAACGTTTTTATTTGGCTGTCTCACCTGACTTTTTGCATTATAGCCTGATAGACATGTGAAGGACAAGCAGGTAGCGCTCTTTGTTGGCGTACGTAAGTCCATACGATTGCTTTCTACAGGTTTTTGGGATTGTCGATCGTTGTTTTGTTTTGGTGCAGACGAACTCTACATGATCGAGATTTGTCAAATTTATGGAAATGCGAGCGCCAGTATCATCTCTGTCTGTCGTATTTTTATTGCCGTCCATTTTGTTTGAGTCCGAAGACTTGTCTAGTGACTTCGTGCGTTGCCGCTTGTTTCGCTGAACGCGAAGACTATAACCTCTAACCGGTTTCCTGAGGTTCAAATGGTCCGGCTCATTGGTGTTTTTCATGGCCTTTGTATCTTGCTCAGGGGGTTTAATTTTGTTATACTTAAGAAGTGACGCTATTATTTCATTGAGGAGGTCGACGTCTACTTCTAGGTCCAAAAATGTGGTGGTGAGTTGTGTGCCGACATTTAGACGGTATTCTTTAACATTCAGAAGTGGCAGTGAATGCAACACCTAAGAGCCAACGAGTTTGAAATTGGGACAGTAATAGATTTGGTGTATGAGTGTTAGAGAACACAAAACTCTGTCGAGGCGGATAGCGACTTTGTAGATTTTCAGCAAACATTGCATGATATATGCGGCGAATCCATCAAAGGTATATGAGGCACAGGCGTAAATGTGTTTGGCAGATAGTACACTTGGTATATTTCCTAGGAATAACCACGTGTGCAGTCGCACTACT